GTTGTAGTCAGTGAAGAAATAAAAAACGTTCATTAGTATAATAGTATAATATATATATAATAAATAAAAAAATGTCAATCTCAGGAGAAATAAACAGAATCATAAATGAATTAAAAACTCTAAAAGATAAAAACAAAATCCTTACTGACGAAAACCAAAATCTGCAAAATATCGACGAAAAATGTAAAAAACTCGCTGAAGAAAATGAAAAACTTTTTTTAATAAATAAAGAACTGACGGAAAAAAATGATGAGCTTGTTCTCAAAACATTTGAAAATAATAATTTATTCATTTACGAAGAATTAAATAAAGGACTAACAGAAACATTACAAAATATAAATAAAAAAATCAACAATAGTTTAAGTTTATTAAAAATTAACTTTTTGGATTCCGACGAAAATAAAATAGATAAAATCATTTTGGCCAGTAAAAATCTCAAAACAATTCAAGAATGATTTCTGCTCGATTACAACAAATACAAGAAGAAATAAATCGACTAAAAAAAGAAAACAAAAGACTAGAAAACGAAAATAATCAAATACTAGAAAACAATCAATATGAAAAATTATTAAAAAAAAACCAAAAACTACAAAAAGAAAACGAGGTTGCTGTTTATCAAAACCAAAGATTGACCGAAAAATTAGAACAAGTAAGAAAAGAAATCGACGAAAAAGTAACTGAATATAATAAAAAAAATAAAATTTTTAATATATTGAACGAAAAAATAGATATTATATTAGATAATTTTAGTTTTGAAATAATATTTCCGTTAAATGATACTATAGAAAAAATGGAAAAAATCGTTGAATTATGTAACAAAATTACACAAATTAATTAAAATTAATTTTCTTTATAAATCAAATAAATAATTTTTTATCTCACAAAATATCGTTTAATTCAGGTGAATTGAATAGAATTCAAAAAATAATAAACGATCTAAAAAAAGAAAAAACACTTTTAGAAAATACTATCTCCGTTTGCAAAAATAAAATAAAAGACTACGAACAAAATAAAACAATTAACCAAGACTTGAAAAATTTAGAATACGAATATAATTCTGTCGAAAGGTCTTTAAAAAATATACTGGAACAAATTGAAAAAGAAAGAAAATCAATATCGAAATACAAAAAACAGTTGAAATATTAGATCAAAAAGCTGATATCATATTAAAAAACTTCAATATAACAATAAACGTAGACCAATCGGAGCCTAACCTGAAAACAAAATTAGCAATAATCAGAGATATTAGTAAAAAATATCAATGAGTTACTCGTCGAAAAAAATCAAAGAAATTAAAAAACTCATCGATAAACTACAAAATGAGAATCAATTCTTGATAAAAGAGAAAGATGAATGTGAAAAAAAAGATCTCGATAATCAACTAATCATCAATGAAAATAAAAACTTAAAAGAACAAAATTTTGAAAATAAAATACGAGAAATAAAAGTAGAAATTAATAGTAATAGAAGAGTTCTCAATGGCTTTATCAAACATAACAATCTTGAATTAGAAAAAGAACTTATAGATAAATCATTAAACAACTTTAAAATACCATACAACATAACAGATTCGTTAGAAACTAAAATGGATCTTCTCGTAGAAATTAGTAAAAAAATAAACAATATTAATTAATTTAGTTATTACACAAATCTACTATATTTAGATTTATTAAATATAGATTATTTAAAAATAATCTACATTTAATAAATCTAAATATAGTATGATTAAAAGAACAATATGATATTGAAATGTTTTTGTCTTTGTTTAACTTAAAATAAGTTTTATTTACTTAGATATAAATAAATATTTATTTAAACGAAAGAAATGAAACAATAAACGATAAAACAAATAAACTTGTTAAATTTAAAAAATACTAACAATGTGTTGGACCTGCGGCAGTTGGTGCTGGCTCGGTATCCCTCATAGACGCGGAGGTGGTGGAGGTGGCGGTGATAGAAGAGGAGGAGGAGGATGGAGACGTCCAAATATAGTTAATCAAACCACTGTTGTATATCAAACAACCGTAATTGATCGAACAGATTATGGAAGAATTCGTGAATTAGAAACCCAATTATCTGAAATGACAAAAAATAGAGACGATTGAAAAAAAAATTCTGAAGAATGGAAAAAACAAGCAAACAAAATGGAAGAACAGTTAAAAGAATGTGAAAAACATAAAAAAGAAGTAGAAGATAAAATTAACGAAATTATGATAACTCATCTCAACATAAGTAGAACAGAAATCGAAAAATTAACCAACGTTGGAAAATTAGATACAATCCTAAATACCATAAAACAAGAAGTAAAAGAATGTTTAAAATTACTCGGAATCTCTTTTCAAACTGGTGATAGTTTGATGTCCATGCTTAAAAAATTGGTGAAAGCCTGCAAAGAAATTGAAATAACCGGGCCTGTTCAAGATATGTTATTAAGATGTTTGAAAACATTAAATCCTAAAACTAAAATAACTAAAACTAAAATAAATGACCCTAAATCGTTTGGACGTGAAAATATGGATGCTTTGGTGAAAGCTTGTTATGAAAACAGTAGATACATTATAAACAAAGAACAATTTGTAGATAGACCAGAAATCAGTTTTGTAAGAAAAATAATGAGATGCTATTATTTTTTGGTTGGAACAAGCAATCCGTTAAGTGTGAAAACGATGGTTGAAAATATGTTCAAACTTATTGATCCGGAAAGTGAAAAAATGTTTAATAGAAAAATATGGAAAAATATTATCAAAAAAGAATATGATTTATTTTCTACTTTTAATCCTAATTACAATTATATAAACGTAATGGTGAAAGATTTAGGTTACTATTTGTGGGGTTTACCCAAATATGAAGATGAAACTTTTCTTGATAAAATATACAGATGTCATAAATACCTTCAAATAGAAATAAATAGTGAGTATATAGAAGATGGTACAAATGATATGAGTGTTGATAACTTATTCGAACCAAATTCTCTTATTGTTTATAAAAATAGAAGAAACGGAATACCAAGTAATTTTCTTTTTTCTCACGTTTTTTACTAAATAATTTTAAAATTTTCATTAGGTTATCAAGGAAAACCTTCAACTCCCGAAGAACTTCAAGAAATTGTGTTATTAAAAAATAAAAAATATAAATAATTTCAATTTAGTTTATATTATTTAGTTTATTTTACGTATAAAATTATAAAGAATTACAATTTATATTATTACTTTAAACTATTTTTTTATAAATAAACAATGTATCTATCTAAATCAAAGAATTAAATAAATTGAAATGACTGAAAACATTCATACAAAAGTTTTACAAATCCCAAGCGGTTCTGGAGAACTCGATCGTATACAAGGAATTATCAATACCCTTAGTGCTGATAAAAAAAAATTAGAAAAAGAAATAGAATTATTAAAATCAAATAATCCTCTACTAGAACAAGAAAATCAAGACCTAAAAAACACAAATGATAATTTAAAAAAAGAAAATGAAAATTTGAAAACGACAAACGACGGATTAAAACAAGAAAATGAAGAATTAAAAAACCAAATTAAACCGCTTAATGACAAAATCCACGATTTAGAAGAAGAAAATAAAAAAATTAAAGCTGAAAATGATGAACATACCAAAGAAAATTTGCAATATGAAGAAACTTTAAAAACTCTTAACGCAAACATTAATAATACTATAAGCATGTTTAACGTAAAATATAACGCTAATGATTCTATTGAAAAAAGAATAGAACAAATCATGGGTTTAGTAAAAGCGATGACAAATATTTCCGAACCTTAGTTTTTTTAATGTAATAAATTTATTATTTTAAATAAATAAATTATGAAACTCCGAAACTCCGTTTAATAAGTATAAATTAAGTAATTGATTAATGAAATTCTGAAACTCCGAAACTCCATTTAATAAATCTAAATTAAGAAATTGATTAATGAAATTCTGAAACTCCGAAAACTCCGAAATGTATAAATTAAGTAATTGATTTTACCTTTAAAAAAATATAAAAACATCGATTTTACTTTAGTTCACATAAATAAATCTGCATAAAATAATAATCAAAAAACAATGGGTTTGAAAGATCTTTCTCGACGTTTTATCGATTTTTTAAACAAGTAAATATAGTATAATGTTATTAATGAATTATATTATGTTAAACTAATTTTATTTAAAACAAATAATAAAGTATGGATGCCAGAAATAATATGACAAAAGCTCAACTTTTAGCAAAAATTAATGAATTAACAACAACGTTCGAGGAACAAAAAAATGAAATAAAAAAAAACCATACTAATGAAACCAGTCTTTACTGAGAAATAATTACTACAAAGGATAAAGAAATTACAAATTTGATGTCTATTATTGATAATCATGTTAAAGAAATCGAACGAATTAATGAAATGAGAAAAAAACATGAATACGAATACAATGAAAGATTGAAAGAAAAAGATAAAATTCACAAACGTGAAAAAGAAGAAAGAGAAAGAACCTATAAACGGGAAACCGATCTTTTACAACAAACTATCGATCATTTGGAACAAACTATTCGCTCTTTACAAATTAGTACTTCCGAATATTAACAAAATATATTTTTTTCTTTAATTTTAATTTTTTTTATTTATATTATTATTAAATAAAGTTTAAATAAATAAATGAAATTTCGAAACTCCTAAACTCTGTTTAATAAATATAAATTATATAAATTAAGTAATTAATTAACGAAATTCCGAAACTCCTACAAGAAAGAATTTTTTTTTTTTAAAGCTTTTAATGAATATATTTTTGTTAAAGTTTATGAAATACCATATTTAGTAATTGATTTAAATAAACATTTTCACTAATTTATATAAATTAAATTGGCTGGTTTATTTTATTTGAACAATTTTATTTTATTTTTTTTTTTTAATATTAAAGGTGAGGCCATGCCTCTATCTTTATTAAAACTCAGTTAAACTTTTTACAAGTAGA